GGACGGGTGGAAGGGGGTGGAAATGGTGGGGTGGGGGTCGCCAGCGGTGACGGGGTGGTGTGTGTCTGGTGTGGCTGGGGTTGCAGGGCGGGGGCCGACGGCTGGGCAGCGAGGTCGCAGCGCACTTCTGGTGGCTGACACCACACACACGCTGGCCTCATGAGGCAGGCTGCGGGACGAATCTGGTTAATGTGGTTCGCAGGCCTGCCAGCAATGCCTGCCAAGGGGGGGGCTCCTGAGCTCGGCAGCTACGCCACCGCCGCTTGTCCGACGTCGGCGCCCGGCCCCGTCCCCGCCCTGTGCAGGCCCGGACAGCTGGAAGACTGACCCCACCTTCCTGACTTCCCGCCAGGCCATGGCTGACTACGCCAACATACTGCAGTCCCTCAGGGCCGCCTGGGGGGCGGAGGCCAGGTGCGGGGCCGCTCGCGCACACACAGTAATTGCCCTCCAGTCCCTGCGCCCTCCACTGACCTATCCAGCCGCACTGGTGCTCGGGCTCTGCTCTTTTCCGTTGGCCGCGAAGCTCCTGATTTCTACTTGTGACCCCACGCGCTCGCCCACGCCGCCACAGCCCCGTCGTCGCGTTTGGCGGCTCCTACGGCGGCATGCTTGCCGCCTGGATGCGCCGCCACTACCCCCACATCATCGCCGGCGCCGTCGCGGCCTCCGCGCCCGTCGGCCAGTTCCCTGGCGTGCCCGGCTTTGACGCCCAGAAATTCTGGCAGGTGGGGGCCGCTCGGGCGGCCCCCCCAGGCAACGGCAGGGCAGCATCGGGCAAACGAGGTTCATGTGTGGCAGGCTGCTGCTGGCGGCGTTCTGTTCTTTATAGGGTTGAGGGATTGAGGGTTTGGATTTGAGGTTCTGCCGGCGAGCGCGATGGACCTCAGCATGCAGCCTAAAACCCGGCTCCAATGCTCAACCCCTGGCAGATTGCTACCAAGAGCGCCACCCCGGAGGCCGGCGCGCCCGCCGACTGCGCCCCCAACGCGCGCGCCGCCTTTGCGTCGATCCTGGAGCTGGGCGCCTCCGACGAGGGGCGGGGCCGGCTGCAGCAGCTGTTCAGGCTGTGTGACCCCCTGGGCGACCGGCAGGATGCCATCGATCTGGCCTACTGGGCGCAGGTGTGGCGGGGCTGCGCAGCGGCGCGCCCCGAAACACCGCATGCATTTAGCAGCAGATGGAATGAGAGACCCGGACGTGACTGCAAAGTGTACCTGCACGGGCTGAACAAGCCCCCTGTGCTGCTGTGCTCTTCGCACACTGAAGCCAGCAATGCGTCCACAGGGTTTCCCTCTTTGTAAGAACAGAGCCTTCCTCTGAAGCTGTGGTTGTTTTTGCCCCATTTCCTCCCCCTTTGCCATGCCCAGGGTGCCTTTGATGCGTATGCCATGGGCGCCTACCCCTTTGCATCCGCATACATGGGCGGCACGGACGACCACCCCCTCCCGCCCTGGCCGATGCGCGCGGCCTGCAGCCACCTCACTCGTAACGAGTCGTGGCTCGCCGGCTACCCCCTGACTCCACACGGCGCGGCCAGGGCGGCGACCGCCGCCGCGGCGCGGCGGCGGCTGCGGGGGCGGCGAAGGGGGGCTGAGGGGGTGGGGCTGGCCCAGGACGAGGGCTGGCTGCTGGAGGGGCTGCGGGAAGCTGCCGGGGTGCTGTACAATGCCACAGGGGAGAAGCAGTGCTTTGACATTGCCCTGGAGGGGCCAGCCGCAGGCAATGCAGGTTGGCATGGGCGCGTTGGCTGACGCCTACCCGTTCTAAGGCTAGCAGGCAGTTTCTGAAACTGTTTTCTGCGATGGAATGTGAGGCCGCGCGATCTTATTTAGCTTTGTCGCGGGGAAGGCACATGAGGATCAGCAACTGGTAGTGGAAGGGGCGCGTGCTGCCGCTTTCTTGGGGCTTTGATTTGTGAACCCGTGTTCCCCTCCCCCTCCCCAGGGCCCTGGGACTGGCAGGTGTGCACAGAGTTCATGGGGCAGGAGGTGAGGGCCTCTCTTCTGCGCAGCGCCCCTGCCCTGACTTGCTGCTGCGGCCAGTTGCTTTGATTGCCCTGTCCATGCCACCTGTCTAGTTGGCCCCCACCGCTTGAATTGCAAAAGCATTCATCTGATATCCGGATGTACCGCCCCCCCCCACCTCGCTGCACACATGCGCGCGCAGCTGCCCTACTTCCCGGCCAACGGAGTGACTGACATGTTCTGGTGCGGCTCAGCGCAGCTGCAAATTTGTTCTTGTCTTCCGCGCGGCAGTCCACGTACGCATCATGTGAACACCGGGTGCCCAAGTGCACGAGCACGGACGTATGCGTGCACGCATTCAAAATACCCTCCACTCCCAATACACACCCACATGCTGGTGACAGGGACCAGGGGCCACTGGACCTGGACGCCATCAGAGCCCACTGCCGGCAGGCCTGGGGCGTCGAGCCGGTCACCTCAACGCACGTCACACTGGATGGCGGCCTCGACTACAGGCGAGCCTCGCGGGACCCTGCCTGGCGTTTGGGGGGCGCAGCCCTGGGCGTTGATGCTGGTGCTCCGTGGGGCGGCCCGTCTGTCGGGGCACGCACCCTGCTCGCCGCCCGTGATTTGACATTGGCGCTTGATGGCTCTTGCCCTGCAATACTCTTCGCTTCTCTTGCAGCGTGGCTCACAACATGCACGGCACACTGCAAGCTTCATCCCACAATTGCCCTCATGACCTTGGTCCGCAGGTTTGTCACCAATATCGTCTTCACGAACGGCCTTCTCGACCCCTGGTCTGCCTTTGGTGTGTTGACAAGGGATGAGTCATACGATGACAGCATTGTGGTCATCAAGATACCCGACGGCGGCCACCACGGTGCGGCCGAGCTGCGAGGGGCGCGCCCTAGCGCTATGAAAGCAGCGGCTGTGACGGCACGCAACAGGATGAATGCAGCGGCAGCTGTGGCCGTTTGCTGACAACTTTGTGACGAGCGGCGCGAGCACACCAATACACCGAGCCGTTGCGCGCGGAAACAGCCGGCACACCGTTCGTCCCTCCCCAAAGCACCACTGCTCCCCTCCTCTGCGCCCCCTCACACGAGCAAAACATGCCTGTGACCGCTGCAGTTGACCTGATGTTCGACCATGAGGAGGAGTCCCCGGGCATCAGGGACGCGCGGCAGGCCATTCTCAAGGAGATCAGGCGCTGGCTCCAGGTGCCCGTGCCCCAGCTTTCCACGGTGGCTGCTGCGACGGCAGCGCGGCTCCCGGCCGCGATGCGGGGGCAACTGCAAAGACCTGATGAAGCTGGCGCCCGGGCAGTGGTGGCGGAGGCTTGACGGTTGTATCATATGAGCACCTGACGTACGATTTGGGAAGGCATGGTTGTATCGGCTTGGCAGGACCATTGCGTTGCTGGGGAAGGTAAGAATATGAAGTTGCCGTGTCACGTCGTCCTGCGACTCCGGGCAAGGTTCAAACAGGCACCAACGGCGCCGTCTGCCGGCAGACGCGTTACAGACATGTAAGGGAGGGGGCGTGACAGCGCAGCTGGGCTTGACCCTTGCTTCTATGCAGTGGATACCGTGTCCAGTGGTGTTGGCTTACAGGCTGGTAGGTTCAGCATTGTCTGGCCACGTCATCTGCAAAGAAGTTCGCTGCGCTTCCTCAGCCAGCTGGGGTGTGGCTGCCTGGTGTGCCCGGTGACGCTGGCCGCAATGCGGGTTCTTGGTGCCAAGCCGCGAGTTCGCTGTATATTTAGCTTTGGCGTACTTTTGGATATCAACACCGGTCATTCGGAAAATCAATCAAAGCGGGTGGCCTCCTCGACAAGCAGCAGCGGGCGCGAGTGGAAAATATGAAAGTAATTACCACGATTATGGCGTTGATCGCAGCGAGTGGGCTTGTCGAGGCCGTGCAGGGGCAAAGCTGCTTCGTGGATATCCCGATTGCTGGTTCCATCTCAGCTTCAGGTATGATAATATGTCAACAGATGGGCAAAAGAGCTGCGCGACACACCTTCCGCAGGCAGCATATGCGCTGCGCATCAAATCACTGTGCACAGCGCCATGAACGGCGACCTTGCGCAGCGCTTGGCTTGGCGATGCCGCCACTGCCAAGCAACCTTGGATGGACAACGTGGCTTGAAGGCGTGGCTGCTACCAGCGCCTTCGGCAAGCATCGAGCTCGCAGTCACTGCGGCGAAGCAGCCGTGCATCAAACCTTGCCCCTTGCTTACGCCTGCAGGATCCGCGCAGTACACAGACTACCCTGCGAAGATCCCCCTGTTCAGCGGCAATGCAGGCATCGTATCCGGTTCCGTGCGGGTAGTCTTTCCGGCAGGTGCGCTGCTGCTGTTGCACCTGTGTTGGTGGGATGTCCCAGCCCATCGGACCCCCCCGGCGCGCGACAAAGCCTGTCGTGGTCTTGCATGATGAGCATCAGCGTGCGGCTGACAGTACCTGCGCCCGTTCTACTGTAAACCCTTACTTTCTGGATGGGCGTGTCCCGCGCCTTACTAGCCCCCTTGCAGGCGATCAGTGCCCCCCTTGCAGCCGCGTGTATCGGCCCCCAACCTGCCCATCCCCATATCTCCCGCAGTTGCCGGCAGCTGCGACTTCAAGGCGCCATTCGCCCTTGACAAAACCAACACGAAGAGTGTCGCGGCATCTTTGGCGCAGGCTCGCCTGCAAGATTCGACGGCGCCAGGTGCGCTTGCGGCATTCACTGTATACACCTGATCGACCCCCAAATTGAGGTGTCATTTCTGCCGGGGCAGGCAGCACTGCTGGCTGCCCCAACCAAGCTGGCTGGGGCGCGTGCATGGCCCCACACCATTCTCTTCCCTTCCTTGCCAGACGTCGTTGCTTTTCCCCTGGACATCCTTGCTGCCCCTACTGCAGTAACTGTTTCGAAAGTGGCGGGGTCGTACCCCTTCCAAGGCAAGCCTGACCCCACGAGGGGTGCGTTCAAGCTGGACTGGAGCATAGATGACTTCTCGGTGAGATTCTGCGAGCACACAAAGGTGGCAACACTTGAGGGATATCAAATGAAATCATAAAGCAGCCGGCAAACTCGAGTGCTGAAACAGGGGGTAGTGCTGGGGTTGCCTTCTGTGAATCCCTCGTGGTCGGCAGCATCCGCTTTCCTCGGGCCTGGCCCTGAGCTGCGCCACTGTAGCGTATTTCTGGGCGCTTCGCGCTGCTCCCACCCAGGCAGCCAAGCCTTGTTAAAAACCGTACTGCCCCATGCCCGGTTCCACACCGCAGTTCTCCCTTGACTCTGATGCGATTGGTGGGGCCATCAACTCAGCCAAGGGCGTGAAGAGCCTCCGGTACAGCATCAAGACCGGCACGGCCAAAGTCAAATTCAGCGTCGGACCGGTGGGCGTTGAGCAGGGGCTTCCTTGCGCACTGCAGGGGGTGCAGTTGTAGTAAGCCAGCAAGGTTCATTGGCTACACATGTGCACACAGTGACGTGCGCGCATGTGCGCGAGTGCACGCGCGTGCGAACATGTCTGCATACAAACGAAACACTCAAGATTGCCGATGCCCCCTGTCTGGGCTTTGCCTCCAGCTGTTTGTTATCTGATTCATCACCCCCTGTTTGGCCACCAGGTTTACTGCCCGCCTTCCGGCTACTCCGCCGACTTTGTCGCCCCCCTGGCCGGCACCGCTGTCAAGCCCAACGCCAACCCGTGCAGCCTGAAGCTGTCCAAGTCAACGCGCGAATTCACGCTCGATTGCAAGAGCATGAAGACACTGACTCTCGCGACCGTCGACGTGTACTTCGCCCAGCCTGGCAGCGCCAGCGGCGCGGGCGGTGCGGGTGGCGCCGGACGGCGCTTGCTGGGCTGCAGCGGGGTCGCCGCTGGCGCACCGCTGTGGGCCGCTGGCGCAGCCCCGGCGAGCGGCGCGGCGACGCCGCAGGACGCAACCGTGACGCCGCAAGGCGACCACCTGCAGATGTGGATAGTTCTGAAGGGCAGCAGCGTCAAAGGCACCGCTTTGCTGGCCGATGCGTCCATCCTGTCCTAGGTGGCCACCGCCGACGGGTGAGGATGAGTCATGCGAGGGCCCCTTCCCCAGGGGCTTAATAGTGCACAATCTTTTCGATGGGGGGCTGCCCTACCCTTGGATCGGCTGAAAACATGAAGTGGATGTCAAAGGATTTTCTGTAAGACTCAAACTCTGGTGAGGCTTTGAACATGCCACGCGCTCAGGTCAGGTTTTGGCACTTCGACACACCTCTTATGTAAAGCCACACTGTGCCTTGCACCGCCACCAGAGGCGGCTGATCAACCAGAGCTCAACACGATCCCCCGAGCCTACTTGTTGATCCCTGCACAACAGTGATGCACTTGTGACACTGCACCACCGATAAGAAAGTTGCCCCACTCCTCAAGCCAACTCGGCATTACCTACAAACCCGCACCTCAAGGAGCCTTGGCCCATATGCTTGCAACGATTGTCACCCTCTCCTGCGCAGTATCCACCCATACATCATATCGCACGTTCATTCTGTCTTCACCATTGGTGGCACTCACCACAAAGTTTTCGACAGTGATGGGTTTTGTCTCGTTTTGCTTCGCCCTGCACAATTCGCCCGCCGACCAACTACCACTGTAAGATGACCAATGTCAAGGTCCTCCGTCTGGGAATGCTTTGCCCGAGCCTCGCAAGTTGCAGAGCTTCTAAAATATCATTGGGTGGGCGGCATGCACGAAACACTTCAGGAATCGCGTGCCCTTCACGGTATTTCCGCTGCCAGCCCGACCGCAGCCTGCGGAGGTCCTACAGCGGGACCTGCCGCCCTCATGCCAAGTCAACAAAAAGTCAACAACATTCCCTGTATGGTACCCTGTTGCTATCCTCGACATTCACAGGGTAAAATTTTGAATGGTGCAAGACGATGCTGAACGGTTGCCTTGTCACCTGGCAAGCTTAGTCCTACTGTGTCGTGTAGTGTCGTTACAGCTGAGTCGCTGCAGGGTGGGCGCAGCACGCACAGCGTGGCAGAGAAGCACAAATCGGCATTCACAAGACTCAATGCAGTGCACCCGGTATCATACGCGAAAGCAACACACCCCGTTTTCCGTTATGCATCATGTTTTGATTGCTCAGCCCTGGAGGTAGGACGATGTCGTGGCGAAGAAGAGAGGTTCGGGCGTCGGGCTTGGATGATGAGGTGGAGCCCAACCTGCCAATTGATGAGATCCAAAAAACTCTGGAGACGCAGAGGCTGGCTGACAAGCCCAGGGTGAGTGATCTGCTTACAGCTGGGCTACTAGCACCTGTGAGATTGCAATTCTAGGTGCACAGCATTACATCATGCCATCTTATGCACCTCATGCAGGTTTCGCTTTCACAGCGTGTGGACAAAGAGCTCCGCCGAGCAGCGGCCGCCCCGCTGCCCCTATCGACGACGCAAAACTCACTCGAATTGGGGGCGCAGCAGCTGTCGGCACCCGAGCCGCCCCTGCTGTCGCAATCATCGCAGCTGTTGCAGCAGCAATCAGGCCTCAGCAGCCTGAGAAAGCGCAAGCTGCCGCCTCTCCCTGAGTCCGCTGCAGCTCGCAGCGGCGCGTTGGGTAGCGGCCAGAGCTCCCAGCCCGCGCGGGCGCCCACTGCCCTGTCCTTCAGTGAGCCAACCCTGGAAGCAGGGGCACCCGCACCGACTGTCGCGCCTGGCCCTTTGGGCGTCGCCGGCGGCGGCGTCGGCAGCACCCCGGCCTTCGACGTGCTGTCCGCCACCCAGCACTTTAAGCCAAAGTTTGACCCCCGCACGCGCGCCGTGCGCCGCGGCCCCGACGGCAAGCCGCTTTCAGAGGAGGCGGCTCGGGCTGCCGAGGAGGAGGAGCGCCGGCAGGAGGCGGCGGAGGACGAGGAGCGGCGGGCAGCGCGGGAGCAAGAGGATGAGGAGGACGTGCCTGATGTTGGCCTTGGGGATGCAGATGACCTGTGGGGTGCGGATTACGGAGTCATGGCGGACGGCGGCCCGCAACAGCAGCAGCAGAGAAAGCAGCGGAAGCGGCAGCAGCACCAGAAGCAGCCCGTCAGGCGGCGCAAGGAGGAGGAGTGCGTCGGCGCCTTGGAGGGCGATGAGGACGGCGGCGCAGCAGAGTGCGGCGGCGATGGTGCTGGCGCAGGGGGTGACGGCGGCGTGGCGCGCGCGAGGAAACGGTCGAGGCGCGGCGGCGCCAGCAGCAGTGGGAGTGGCCGGGGAGCAGGGGCGGTCGAGGATGAGGCGGGTGCAGGGGTCCGGAAGCCCGTGGCGCTGCTGGGTGCGCGCGAGCTGGGGCCCGAGGTGCCTCTGGAGCTGACTTTCCCCTGCGGGCGCACCTTTAAGGTGCGGCGCCCGGCTCCTCTCCACCCACGAGCGCCTGCACGCGCTCGCGCTCGCGCTCGCGCCAGCTGCTTCCGGCTGTACTGTGGTGCGGCGGGCGCGCCATGCCATGCTGCGACCACTATTCCAGCCACCTCAGCCCGTCCTCTCCCCCCTGCTACGTTGTCAACCCCGCCAACCGCGCGGCCCAGGTCCCGGGGGCCATCAACAAGTTTTTGCGGCCCTACCAACGAGACGGGGTGCGCCCTGGTTGGAGTGTTAGGGCTTGAGAAAATCTTGGGGGGGGGGGGCGGTTGTCGCCCGAACCGCCTGTGCCTTTGTCATGTTGGCCCCTCGGCCTAATTGCAATACGGTACGGTTTGTCTAGCGGCGAGCGAGCGCGGCGAGCCTGGGACTCACAGTCGCACGTGGCCGTCGCACGTTTCTGCGCCTGCTGCGTCTGCGCGCTGGTGGATGACCGCACGCGCCCACCGGTCCCCGACCTCCTCTGCCGCGCCCTCCGCCCTGTCCCCCCAGATCCGGTTCCTGCTGCGCTGCTACTGCGCTCGCCACGGGGGCATCCTCGCAGACGACATGGTGCGCCTTGAAGAACCCCGAGTCCCGTAATGGCGTGCTTGCTGTGCAGAGCAGAGGTTGCATGCATGTGTGCATTTGTGGGGGCCTGTGCGCACAGGAAGCAGTGTGTTTGTCAGGGGCTCGCGCCGCCTGCTGCGGGCGTTGGCTAATACATTCCGCGTCCGCGCCGACCTGCTCAGCTGGCTGACTGCTGCACCTCACTGTCCGGTGCCACCACATCCCCGCCAACCTCCGTGCTCAGGGGCTCGGCAAGACGGTGCAGGTGTGATTAAGCGGCAGGTGGTGGCGCTTTTGCTGGGGTGGGCGGCAGAATATGATAACACGCACGCCCACACGCGCAGCCGATTTGGGGGTATTTAATGCTGGTTCTAGAGCAGGGTTGAATCAGCTTGGGTTGGACATCCAATGGGATAAACGATCTTCTCCCCTTCGTCCTCCCGAACGCAGGCCATCTCTTTCTGTGCAGCGCTGCTGGGCAAGACAGGCGGCGACGACGACGCGCTGCCGCTGATGGCGCGCCCCCAGCCGCAGCAGCGGCCGCGCGCTGGGGACGACGCGGGCGAGGAGTCGGGCGATGATGAGGACGAGGAGGACGAAGGGCGGCGGCAGCAGCCGTGGCCGATCCTGGTCGTGTGCCCCAAGTCACTAGTGACAAACTGGCAGCAGGTGCGACAAGCTGCGTACTTTCTGATTTTGTTTGCCGATGTTTGCCCCCTGGGCCTGATGGCCGGCGATGTGCCAATATCTGAGGCCTAAGGTTGGGCGTGCGGCGCATTATGGGGTGCACGGCCTAAGTGTCTGAGTGAGCTCTTGCATGCAAGCGGAAGGGCCTCTTTTGTGTTTGCCGCGGTGCTTCTGACAACCCCATGCTGCCGCCCCCCACCTGCCGCCCCGCTTACAGGAGTTCTGCCAATGGGGAAGCTTCCAGGTGAGGCACCACCCACACTCAAACCCTCACACCATCCCTACACCGCCGCCTCCCCCCCCATCAGCTGACCCACTGCTTGCCGCCACAGGAGCTGCTGCCGCAGTTGCAAGGCCCTGTGCACCTAAAAGTGCAAGCAATGCTCACGACGCACACAGCCAGCTGGACCCTAATTGTTGCCCAACGTACGGCGGCCACGCTGTTGCGCAGCTGTTCACCTACTACGGCAGAGGCAAGGAGGCCGCCTACCAAGCCGCCGCCAGCGGCCAGGCAGAGGTCTTGCTCACCACGTACGACCAGCTGCGCCTCAGCGCCTCACGGCTGGCGGCGCTGCCCATACACGTGCGCCCCGGTTGCCGGGACTGGCGGAAGGGAACGACAGCTGTGCCCCTTGCTGGCCCAGTGCACCCTTCCGGTGCTTTCAGGCGCTTTGCCGGCTGTGCAGCGCGTCAGGAACGTTTGAATTCATCAGATATGCTCGCAAATGTGTTCTCCTCACCCCCTAACCCCGCCTCCAGCTCGACTGCTCAGTCATGCTAGCCCCACGCAGTCATTGCTGCCCCGCTGCCCCGCACCTCCCCGCAGGCGGTGCTGTTTGACGAGGCCCACAAGCTGTCCAACACGGCCACCAAGACCTCAATGGCGGCGCGCGGCCTGGCCACAAAGCTACGCTTCGGCCTGTCAGGTGCCCGTGGGCGCCCCCTGGTCGGCCTTGCGGATCCTGGGGGCCTTGCACCCCTGCTGCCTATGGCGGCCTGCGAACCCACCAGACACCACAGACCAGCCGCATCTTGGATCTGGACATCAGTCAAAAATCAGCTGCCATCATTACTAGAGCAGCTCAAGTTCTTCTCACCTGCATCCCGCCATTCAAGCGGTTATTACGAGATGCCGGTCAGCCCCCAAAAGCATCTATACCACCCGTCCCTCTTCCGCCAGGCACCGTGATGCCCAACGACTTCAAGGACATCTGGGGACTCATGAGCCTGCTGGTGCCGGGCGCACTCAACGACTGGGCAACCTTCAACGTGCGTGGGGGCACAGCGGAACAGCGCCGCCTGCGTGGGTTGCGCTTGTAACGTGGTTGGGGCCGGGATTGGGGAGGGGCTTCTGGAGGGCCCCGGCGGGCCCCCTCATATCGCTGCACATTGCAGAATGGAAAGCAACAACACTGCCAGAGGGTTCTGGGCCATTGGCGCAAGCTGTATTGCATCAGGGCACTTTGCTCTCCCGCCAGGTCCCTCGTCTCGAAGGAGCAGGTAGCGACTGCGCGTGGCTTGCGTCGTCTTTGCAACCATGTATGAGTGGCTATCTTCACCATTCCAGCCGACTCCCCTCGTTGCCCGCAGTCCCACTACGCGATGCCGATCAAGGTCGGGTCCTCCAAGACAGCCACAGCCTTCGAGCAGGCGCTGGTGGGCGTTGCTGGGGCCCTCGTGCTCGCCTCGCGCTCTTGTGTAGGAAGCATGCTCTTTCATGCCTTCAACATGTCATGCGATGGACAACTGTCCATCGCACAAATCCTGCATTGTGCGCTGCACGTGCTCGGCGTGCTCTGCCGTTGCCACTACCGCCATCGGGCCCTGACAGCGCCAGCCTTTTTCCACTGGTGTCATTTTCCTGTTGTGCCCCACCAAACCTGATTTGATCCAAAGTCTGCATGCACCCAGCTGCGCCCACAGAGCGCGCACCCACTCCCGCCACCCCTCTCCCTTGGGGCACCCCCCACGGCCCCCTCCCCCAGGGCCATGAGCGCAAGGTGGAGCTGTCCCAGCTGCTCAAGAAGAATTACCTGCTGCGCCGCGATAAGAGCATGGTGCGGTTTAGCCCCACCCCCCAACCCCTTCGCCAAGGGCCAACTTTCTGGCGTCCCTGTTCCCTCTAGCTCCACATTTCTATTGAAGCAGCGCAGGACCAGCCTTGAGTTTTTAAAGTCCTGTCAGGCCAGCCTGCATCAGCAGCGCTCTCCCCATTGCTCGTCCCCTCTCCGCCGTCATCACCTGCATTGCCATGGTTTTAATCGCCAGCCTGGCGACGCGCGGCGGCAAACCCTTGGAGTGCATCTGATCCAACAACCCCCTAACCGCCCCCAACCGCCTTCAACCGCCCCCAACCGCCGCGGCACCCGCAGAAGGGCATCGTTGAGCAGCTGCCCAGGAAGGTGGACCAGATCGTGTTCTGCCAGCTGCGGCCCTCCCAGGCGCGCGCCTATAACCGCATCGTCCAGAGCGCAGACGTGCAGGTGTGCAGTGTGGAGATCTGCACATGACCACGGCCTTCCACACTTGTCCCTTCCACTGTGGACGGGCGCGTGTGAGCCGAAGGCAGCCAGTGCTCATCAACGCTCTGCTGCTGCACGCTTCACGTGCGTAGGGTCGTCCCTGCATGAGCATTGGGATGATTATGCCTGACCTGCTGACACGCGACCCCTCATTCAATCCCCAGGCGCTGCTGCGCGGCTGGGAGGTGTGCGACTGCAACGGCGCGACCGAGGCGCGCTCCCGCTGCTGCTATGAGTGAGCGACGCCTGCGCCGGCCCGGCAAGCAGCACATGTGCATGAGCCCGCAATGGCGCCGGGCACCCTGCAGCTGAACATGCGTGACTGGCTTCTCGTCGGTCTCTGGTGTGGATGCGCGTATCATACCAACCGCGGTGTCGCAAGGCAGCCTTCAACTCACGCACGCCTGGTTTGCCGCTCAGGTTTGTGCCAGAGGACAGGGGCGGCGTCATCTGGCCCTTCCTGCACTGCTGCGACTGCGGTGAGCGCCCTGTGCCGCGTCATGTCGGGCAAGACAGGGGCCAAGAGGGTTGTGTTCTGAGCACTACTGGTTGCCTGATGCTGCTGCACGCATGAGGAGCGGTGAATCACCACCCCGTTTCCCCACCACAACATGTCTAGCGTTTATAATACCTTCTTAGCGAGTGCGCATGCCTGCATATACGCACACACACACACACAAACACACACACACACCCACACACACTAGTACACCTACACGCACACACAGCACAACCAAAACACGCACGCCCACCACACCCCAGACGACCCCAAGTGCAAGAACCACAAGCCGGAGGGCTGTGAGGCGTACTACCAGGAGCAGGGCTACAACAACACAGTCATAAAGTGCCCCTGGTGAGGCCGTCAAGTCAGACAGTCATGTCGTAACACGATGATGGCTGAGTCATGAAGCAGCTTCACGACCAGCCTGCTCATGATAGTCTAGTTGCAGCTCGCCTTGTCAGCCGCAGAGGGGCGCGGCCGTAGTCATGATATCGCCTGCTGATGGCACCACCCGCCTGAGAGCCCCGAGTTCGTGTCTGAGCGCACCATTCGCCCTTCTTTCGCCATCCGCCCCCACAGGTGCCTCATCTTCCCGGTCGTCGGAAAGCTGAGGGATGGTGAGGGCCGCCGGCGCACACTGCCGGAACCACACGACGCGCCGCCCTCTGTCCCAAACTGTGCCTCCCGATGCCACGACAAGCGCAGCTGTTTGCAACGCCCGCTTGTAGCACCTTTGATTGCTACTTGCTCCAGGTGGAGTTTCTGATTTTGAATGCCCTTGTCAAACGCTACCCCTGCCGCTCACTCCAGTGGCGAGCCACCTGGACCTGCTGCGGCCAAGCGCTGAGGAGGGGCAGCACCAGGAGTACAGGAAGAGACGCAGGGTGAGCGCACGCACATCCACGTTGTGTACGTGCTGAGTGTGTTGCGCACTGTACAGGCGACATCTTTCGCATTGGCCTGCCTTTGCAAATATATCTGTTGTTGTGGGGTGTGAGCAGTTGAGGGCCAGAGTGCGCGTGTGGACGTAGGTGGCCCAACGCAAAGCAGCGTGAGACGAAGATGGAGTGAGGGAGGAACGGTGGGGTGAAGCACGGGGCGAGGGACAGCGAGCGCCTCTGCCAGTTGCGCACACGTGTCAGTGGAGGCCGGGTGCCACGCATCCCTGAAGGCGCGATCGCCTTCCCATTGAGTCCTCCATCGGCTCAGATGTGGCCTGCAAGGGATTGGTCCCTGCCCAACCCCCTTTGCCATTCAGGGAACCCCTGGAGACTCCCTCCATCCACAGTTTTTCCCACCCTCCGCACACCCCAGTTTGAGTACGAGTGCGCTGTGGCCAAGCTGGCGCTGGGGGAGGAGGCGGAGGAGCTGGGAGGCCTGGTGGCGGGCGGCCACAGCTGGCTGCAGCTCACAGACACGCAGCACTGCGGCAAGGTGCGCCTCCACGAGCGCATGTGTGCCGTGCCTGCCCCGTGAGACCTGGCCGCTCACTCATGCCTCCTTTGCCCCGCGCCCCTCAACCTGCACCCTTCACGATTGCACGTGTGTTGCTTGCGCCCACCTTGCCTCTCCTGCTTCTGGCCGAGCCAGATGGTGGTGCTGCTGTCGCTGCTGGCCCAGTGGCACGAGCAGAACGACAAAGGTGGGTTTGTTTCCTGAGAGGCGAGGGCTGGTCGCCTGCAAGCCGGCACACGCGCTGCCTGCGCCCAGGAGCAGCGCGCCCCTGTTGTGTGTGTGTGTGTGTGTGTGTGTGTGTGTGT